GAGCCATTTCCATATAAGCTATGTGAACCTTCTCTTTTGGTGCATCAAAGATATTACCTATAATTGGCCATCCTTTGGGTCCCGGTGGAAGTGGTTTTGGGCGAATCCAAGTGCGGTGTGCAAAGAACAAGAACAAGAACAAGCCTAAAGCAATGAGACTGATAGTAAGATGGAAGGAAGGCATTAATATGGGGATTTTAGTGCCTGACATCTCACATCGCTTCAAATATAGAGCTGGAAAGGCGCGGAGATATGGTGAACCAGCTGTTAGCATGGATTTCTGATAGATAACAGTTTTAGGGGGGTGTTTCGTAACATTTTCAATGCCAGTGCCAGTGGTCACTGGAAAATAAGCTAGGCCAGGTTGCCAGTGCACTGTGCGGAATCGTTTGTGGTATTTTACTGAGTATGTCGTCTCGCGAAACTGAGAGTGCAACATGATCCATGAAACCAGAGTCCTTGCACTCTGAGAACAAAGATGAACTCCAGCCTAGATCGAAAACGAATGAAGTACTTTATTGACATCTCCTCATCTTGCCAAGCCCCACGATTGAATTAGCCTTGAACCAAGCTCCTTGCCGCTCTACAATTGTGGGGAAATGGTTGGTAAGTTCTGATGCTACAGCCTGTCGAAGTACTAAAAGGGACACTAAAACAAATGCTCGCTTAACAAAAAACAGGGAATCGGGTCAAATGTTAATCGCTTGAGCTGAGGTGAGAGTTGAGGTAATGAGTCTCCTCTAAGCGTCTCATTATACACCGACGATCCATGCGGATGTGTCTATGTGTCCTTTATATTCGAGTCTGCCTACGGGAGACTACTCCTGATTATAGTGCCACTATCAGACGTGATACCATTTCCGACGCCAGACGGCCATAAGCGAGGTGAACAGGTACTGTAAATACCCGATGCCCAAGAATTTGACCTAGAATGGATATGTTCTCCTCCTGGACTGATTTTTGAAAGCGGGTAAGAAGATACCAAAAGGATGGTGTTGAATGTGGGCAAAAACCGTCACAATGGCTTGTATATCCGATGAATTTGGGGGCTCAACGTCGAGTCATCAGTTAGCAACATCACCAAGATGATTCGGAGCAAGTTTGACCTTGCGCGCCAATTTTTCTCTCTATTTTCCTCTGGTTCACACTACGCGCACATCTACAGTCCCTTTTGTCCTCTGCTTTTGGTAACAATCCAGAGCCAACATCTCGGGTTGGATTCGAAGCCAGTTCCAACTTCCGGAGCTCTCTCAAGTACTAGTACTGTTTACATCTCGAAGTTTTGGACTACTTAGTTTGGAGATTTTGGATATATCTATTCACGCAGCACAATGACCTTTCCCTTCACTGTATGTTGGGATACACGGGTGCATCATCACTCGAGAAAGGGCAGAGTCAAACAATATATTCCATTTGATCCTCGTAGTGGGGAGGCCGTGGTGAGCAACGGCACTCGGCAAAAATCAAATCCAACACTGTAAGTATAGTATACATCCCTAGTTATTGAACTGTTAATCATGTAAGTAAATAACCTTAGTTCAGACACAATGATAAGTGTCAAAAGACTATTGCATTACCTGTTAATTTTGTAAGTAAATATGAAATAACAAGCTCACCCTCATTCTGGACACAAGGATAAGTGTCAAAAAGTCCAAGTATAAGTACAGATCTAGGTAACTGCCGATTGTAGTAAATGTCCCATCGAAATGCAAACAGCTTGAAGTAACTATGAATACAAAACATGTAAGAATAGGAAATGAGGTGCATAGTAATAATTAATGGAGCGTAGGAATAGAAGCAGGATGAAAGGAATAACATCCAGAATCAGGAATCCCCGGGCAAGGCTCACCGGATAACTCACGCTTGGCCTCACTCAGTATGAACTTTATTTAAGCAACTGTATTGCAAACATCAATGGCTAGCCTATAAACCTAGGCGTTTTCTACCCCACGGTCATTTTGCCGTATATCCTGGTGGAACCTCTTCAATTCTGTCATTCCCATCTAGAGCATCTGCCCTCATCCGCATACCACTACCTTTATGGATAAATACCCGTGCTGGTGTTTCAGTCATTTCTTGACCTTCCCGATGCTCCTGAACAAGTGCGCGCCATGGAGAGCTAGCCTCTAGGTGTGTTTCCCTGGGTTGTTGAATTCTGAGTCATATCGTCTGCATTTTATAGCAACACAGATTAAGTTAGACCAACTTTGGAAACATTAAACTCAATTTGAATATGATTTTCGGATGGAGGTGAAAGTGTAATAACTTTTGAGACACTGAGCCCACCTTGAATATGATTTTCGAAGGTATGACCAAGGAATGAGTAAGAGGGATGGACTGATCTCGTTGAACTTGGGTAGCAGTAGCTGAACTGGAAGGCGTGGTAGCTGCGGAACTGGTAGGCACGGAGGAGGGACTCAAGTAATGCCTGCTCTGCTTCAGTGAGTGATGTTAGGTAGAAATACTCAATGCTCAGGGGCATTCCTGTGGGGCTACCATTGGGGGCTACCGCCGTTGTGTGCTCCCCAACACTGAGGTCAGAAAGTGTGAAAAGAGGCTGTTTTCCAAGAAGCCTATTCCCGTAGGTGGGACTCCTGGTAGGACAAACAACACAGGATCATTGTTATCGACCTGATATGTTGCGGTATTGGAAGTATTACTGGACAAAGACCCATAGAGAGACAATGACGTTCCTAGTATATACATATTACATACTTAGTATATCTGTGAACCAACGAAATACATTCCTCACCGTTGAATGTTACTGTTGCTGTAGATGAAGGAACACTCGTAAAGATACTACCACCACTATTAGTGTCCCCAGTCCATCCTCCCCGATTGTGAATATGCTATGATTTGACGGCTCCATGACTTCTGAATTTCCAACTTGCAATATCTCTCCATCAAGCCTCGGAGGAGGAGTCAAACTCTCAAAGGTGATATAGTCAAGGTAGAAAGCAGAGCCATCCAGATTTTGGTTTCGGACATCAATTACCAGCTCATGCTCACCTGGATTCGAAGCACCACTGTCGAATTCCGGTGAGACCGTACAAGTAACGACGTTGTTAGTGACCTGTTCCGGGGTTACAGCCGCGCTATTCGACGTCAGTATACCGTCCAGCGTGCACGTAACTTCCGGACCAACTGGGGAAGGTGTACCTGTATTGCGCATATATGGAAGGCAAGCATGATAACCACTTCACCAACGGTGTCATGCCTAGGTGGTATTTTGATTGAATAACAAAGCAGTGTGAGCATGCAAATATTTGGCTAAGTAAATCCTCTCCTCCAAACTTTGAATACTCTCCATTTGGCGAACTTGTACCGGACGTTTGATTTCAAATTACTCGCGCGGAGATACAAATCCATGTAATAAAATAGCGATATAATACACATAACGACAGCATAAACTAATTCTGCAGAGCAGTCAGTCCTCGATTCAAAGGCGAAAAAGCACGACGCCTCACCTCTGGTATCCTAAAAATGGTCATTTCCTGCTGTTTAAAGTATCGTCGATCTTCCTCGTCGATGAGAACCAAGTTGAGATAATACCGGGTGCTAAACTTTTTGTTAACATCGCGGAATGTTGGTGTCAAGTCGAAGCCTCCGAGGAATAGACGTATGGGAATGGTTTCACTTGCGAGAAATTAGAATGGGAGTGAAAATAGGTAGGCTCCAGTGGGACGCGGACGCTGCATACCTGTAACAGGCGCACCATCCATGATTTCAAACTTGGTGATCGTTTCGCTCTCGTTATACTGGTTCGGCGGAGCACCAGTAGTTTCTCTTCGGATAATAGACAGTTCAATATGCTTGATTTTTATCCGTACGAGCAGGAAGAAAGTCTTGCCAACGATGACATCCTTTAGATGGTATCTTTATAGAAGCTATAAGCGATAAAAAGGAAAGAGATGATCCAGAAAACGCACGCACTTGGACTTGTTGTACTCGAATTCGATATGCAAACAATCTTCAATTCCGACCTCCATTTTAATTGAATTATTGCTGTCTGGAGGCATCCGGAACGAGTGTGCTCAGATATCTCGAGTTCATGCTGAGCGAGGCCAAAGCGCAAGGCCAAAGCGTGAGTTATCCGATGAGCCTTGGCCGGGGATTCCTGACTCTGGACGTTATTTCTTTCTATTCCTACGCTCCATCAATTATTAATACGTACCCTGTTTCCTATTCTTACGTGTTCTGTATTCATGGTTACTTCGAGCCGTTTGCATTCGATGGGACATTTACTACGATCGGTACCTAGATTCATATACTTGGACTCTGATTCCGATGGCCTCAGTCTTTTTGACACTTATCATTGTGTTTGAACTGAGGTTTTACTTGCATGATTGACAGTTCAATAACTAGGGCAGTGAAGGGAAAGGTCATTGTGCCGCATGAACATTTGAATCCAACCCGAGACGTTGGCTCTGGATACGATGGAAAGCAGAGGTTACAAGGGACCGAGCCAGAGGAGAATGCGGTCAAGGTCAAACTCACTCTAAATCATCCTAGTTGGTGCTGTTGCTAACTGACGAATCGACGTTGAGCTTGAGCTTCGTCGTTTGAGTGAAAACCACGAACAACTCAACAAACAAAACGAGTTGTTTTTTTCTCGGTGCGGCGAAATACTTATGTACACCGCGTCCTTGCTCTTGGTTGTTACCTTGAGAATAGAAAGATGACCTCCCCAATTCCGGCCAATCGCAAAACGCGAAACTTGTGCACCGTAATCAATAGCTCTCGTTGAAATCCGGACTTGAAATGCAGCATTCTCACTTTTAAACCCTAAAGGTATCGAGAAGGGTATGTTGTTGTTGACGACGTAGGTGGTGAGGTTCATTCCGCTGTTGAATATCCCGCAGGTAATATTTTTCCACAGAGTTTGTGGCAAGTGGTTGAAGAAAATTGAAGTATTGTACTGTGAAAAAATCAAATAGGCTGTATAGTAAGTAAAGTACACCAACCAATGGTGTAAAACGTTTCCCACCACTGGTCATCTATACACCGTTCGGGAATCGAACCCGAGCCGCTTGCTCATATAGGGACTTTTCCAAAATGATATGGAAGGCAAGCATGATAACCACTTCACCAACGGTGTCGTGTTGAAATTGTATTTTGATTGAATCAGAGAGCAATGTGAGCGTGCAATGACTACTAAACTCCATTTGCTCTCAAATTACTCGCGCGGAGATACAAATCCATGTAATAAAATAATGATATAATACACATGAATACACTAATTCTGCAGAGCAGTCAGTCCTCGATTCAAAGGCGAAAGAACAAGACGCCTCACCTCTGGTATCCTAAAAATGGTGATTTCCTGCTGTTTAAAGTATCTTCGATTTTCCTCGTCGATGAGAACCAAGTTGAGATAATAGCGGGTGCTAAACTTTTTGTTAACATCGCGGAATGTTGGTGTCAAGTCGAAGCCTCCGAGGAATAGACGTATGGGGATAGTTTCACCTGCGAGAGTGGGAGTGAGAATAGGTTCCAGTGGGACGCGGACGCGGCATACCTCTAACAGGCGCACCATCCATGATTTCAAACTTGGTGATCGTTTCGCTCTCGTTATACTGGTTCGGCGGAGCACCAGTAGTTTCTCTTCGGATAATAGATAGCTCCATATGCTTGATTTTTATCCGTACAAGCAGGAAGAAAATCTTGCCAACGATGACATCCTTTAGATGGTATCTTTATAGAAGCTATTAGCGATAAAAAGGAAAGAGATGATCCAGAAAACGCACGCACTTGGACTTGTTGTATTCGAATTCGATATGCAAACAATCTTCAATTCCGACCTCCATTTTAATTGAATTGTTGCTGTCTGGAGGCATCCTGAACGAGTGTACCCAGATATCTCGCTCTTTCACTACATCTGCCATCCGTCGTGATATCGTTACCCGTATAAGGTACCTGTGGACTGGTAAGGTTATAGTATTCAAGCTGCAGCTCCCAGAACACACCTCAGCTTGACATTAATTCCCTGATAGCTCTCAAACTGCTTCTCCACGTTCTTGAAGCCGAAATCGAACGTCTGCGCTTGTCGCATTTCTCCTGGTGCCGCAAGCTCCTGCGAGAGGGATAGGAATTCATGGTGGTGTCCTCGGTCATAGAATAGCTCTAAAGGGTCAATATGTTAACCTTGACATCCTATACGAAGATATTCACCTATGCTTCCGACAAATTCAACCTTGATCCCATCGTGTTGGACCTTCTTTCCGTCTCGTGTACGGATAGATATCTAAGGCTATGAGTTACTTGTAGTTGAGAAAAGTGAGCTCTTACCTGGCCGCTAACTGTGTCTCCGTCGTAGTAAACTGGACATGAAATCATCTTGTCCTTTTCACCTTTGGTTTCTACTAGCTTGCGTACATCTTCTCCGTCCAGTTTAAAGTCGACATCAATAGGTGACGCGAAGAAATAGCCGGCCATTGCGCGTTCCACAGATCAGAGTTCGGGGACAAGTGCGTAGTACTGGCGCTTGTAGCTCGTCGGCGCTTAACCTTAACCTTCACACCGAATTCATTCTATTTTCAGGTTTAATAGCACCAGTACCATGGCCACTTCACGCTCATTCAGCTTTCTTTTCTTTCAGCTTGAGCAGTGGGCTGCTGATAAAAAGTTTGGTCTCCTGACCCGTGATATCTTTATTTAAGTGTACCGGGGATTCGGAAACATTTTCTCTCATTGGTTTCCACCCCCGTCATGGTATACACTACCTCCTCCCTGTTCCTCAAAGCACTTACCCTAGCAGGAATTACCCATGTCTTTGTAAACTGGGGCTCCGACCATCCAGCAATGTTGGAAGAACTCCAACGGCAGAGAGTTCAAGGCGAACACCGAGGAGATACTTCTCCTCGTGTCATAACGTGTCCAAACGAAATGGTGGCTCTCACTGCCGCCCACGGATATGCACAGGCCACTGGTAAGCCAGCTGCGGTAATCATCCATGTCGATGTTGGAACCCAAGTACGTGTATTCTCTGTATTCTGATCTCAGCTCACCTATCTCAGGCTCTTGCTGGGGCAATTCACAACGCCGATCGTGGCAGAGTACCAGTGCTTATCTATGCTGGTGCATCGCCGTTTTCGAGCCGAAACGAGATCAAAGGCGGTCGCAACGAATGGATAATGTGGCTTCAAGGTACTTGAGGTTTTCCAGCACCACTTGTATCAATACTCAAACAATTACAGACGTCCCTGATCAGACTGCAATAGTTCGCCAGTACATGAGGTACACAGCTCAGATCAATAGCGGAAAGAATGTTGCGCAGGTTGTTAAACGCGCTTTACAGATGTAATATCAACGTTCCCTAGTCTTCCACGGCAGTGGCTGATAGACATTTTACAGTGCTACTACAGAGCCTAAAGGTCCAGTATACCTCTGGGCGCGTCGAGAGGTTATGGAAGAGGAGGTTCCATTTACGCTGTACGATTCTCTATCGATGAAACCTCCGGTGCCCGTCTCTCCAACGGGTCTTTCTCCAGTTGATACAATGACAATCACCAACGCTCTCCTCGCATCCCTCCACCCACTCATCATCACATCTCATACCGGACGTAATCCTGACGCCGTATCATCTCTACTCACTCTCTCTACCGTACTCGCAATTCCCATTTTCTGTACCTGCCCATCCGCCGTAAATGTTCCCTTTTCCCATCCATACCTCTTTGGCATCACGTACATCTCCCCTGGTCCCTCTGCAGAATCATTCAAAGAACATCTCCGAGGCGCTGACGTCGTCCTAGTCATAGACTCGGATGTCCCTTGGATCCCATCTAGCTGTGCACCCAAAGAAGACGGATCAGCTCGAGTCTTCATTATTGACGGAGGCGATCCCCTCAAAACAACTGTGGCGATGGGAACCTGGGATGCGGCCTTGCATCGCGGAGTCGAGATGATTTGTCGCGCAGATAGTGAGACAGCTATTGGGCAGGTGGTCGAATTCGTTAGAGAGAGTATACGAGACGGTCCTACCCAGATGGAAGCTGTCACTAATGAGATTCGGGAACGAGTTAAAGAGCGCGCGATGAGATCGATGCAGGTTCATGAGAGATGGGTGGAGCGTTTGGATGGAGAGGAAGTCGCCGCTAAATCAAGATATGTTACTGTCCCACAGATTATGCGCGCGCTACAGGAAGTAACGGCTCCGATTTCAGCGAAATCTCTTATTGTCGGTGAAGCTATATCCAATTATGGTCTCGTATGGGAGCATGCGCGTCCTGAGCTTCCCGGAAGCTTTGTGACGTCGGGAGGTTCGTCCTTGGGGTATGCTCTCGGTGCCTGTGTAGGTGCTATACTGGGAGACCGTGTTGCTGGTGCGAGCAAATATGAGTTGGTGACCGCGATAGTTGGCGACGGAGCATTCATGTTTGGTGTTCCAAGTTCTGCATTTTGGATTGCTCGTCGGTATGAAACAGTGAGTTGAATCCTTTACTTTATGGTATCCCTCGCTGATCATTTTAGCCTTTCTTGACCATCATATTGAACAATGGTGGATGGAGAGTAAGTCGCTTTACAACAATTTCCGACCCTTGCTAACGCGCCTGACAGTCTCCTAAACTATCCATGCTCGGTGTCCATCCTCATGGTCATGGGTCGGGTTCACTTTCAGGAGAGCAACTCTCCGTCGGGTTCTCATTTGACGCAACCTCCAACTCGACCCCTACCCAATCCGATAGAATCTCCCCCAATTACGGGCAAATTGCCGTTGCTGCTACGGATGGTTGGGCTTGGGGAAAGAAAGTATCGGTCTCAGTTGGGGATGCGCCCGATGTGAATCGGTTATTAGATAGCCTTAAAGACACATTGGCCGAAGCAGTTCGGGTGGTAATAGAGGAGAAGCGTTGTGCGGTGGTTGATTGCATGCTGGAGGCCCTTTGATTATTGGTGTATTTAGGCGCGTTCGCGCGGGCGTGTACATATGTCGGATGTTGGTTTGTTCAATTGAACTTGTTCTCATGACCGTCATGGTCGGTTTCTTTTCTTCTCCCTCGTTATTTCCTTGGGTGTTATGCCTTGCTCTCGAGACCCCTCTCGTGCCGAAGCAGGTCTTCCTGCGTCCCCTCAATCTGAGTCCATTCCGTTGACACCGTTATCTCCCGGGATCGCCAATCCAAACAACGCTGAACAAAGACCAGCCTCAGTGGCAGCCACACACACCGTTGACCAAGGCGCAGAAATTCGTTCTGGCACTAGAGGAACTACGAGACGCTTTCCAGGTCAACAGCGCAACCCGGGCGGTAGGTTTGCAATTGAGTGTCAAAGTTCATTGTTTACGCGTAATTCCAGTGGCACCAAGGAACTACAAGGAAAAGTACCCTGCCGATGAACGTTACAAGGAGATGGATCCCGACGCTCGTGTTTGGCACGTCTACAACGACGAGATCGAAATTTTCGACACCGATATGATCAATGATGCTGGTGGCAGTTTGGATATCTTGTTAATATTCGTGCGTAATTTTCTCTGGTTCAGATGACAAATTAATATGTCCTATAGGCCGGTCTCTTTTCCAGTGTTCTAACCACATTCGTGGCTCAGACGTCGTCTGCACTTTCCCCAGACTCCGCGGCCATGTCCAACTCTATTCTCCTCGAACTAGTCGCGCTGCAACGTGCACAGGCCAATGGGACTTCCCTCAGCTCAGTCCCTCCTGCTGATCTGTCATTCGTTGCATCTCGTGGCGACATTTGGCTGAACGTCCTGTGGTTCACGAGCTTGGTGCTCAGTCTTTCCACGGCACTTTTCGCTGTCCTTGCTAAACAATGGCTTAGCCAATATTCATCCTTCGTCGCTGGTTCCCCGCGCGAGCGTGCTTGTATCCGCCATTTCCGTCTCACCAACTTTGAAGAGTGGAGGGTGCAAGTAATCATTGGTCTTTTACCCACCACTCTTCATCTCGCTCTCTTCCTTTTCATGGTTGGCCTAGTCATTTTCTTGGCTCCTCTCAATCTTGCTCTTGCATGGTTTCTAGGTGTCTTTGCGGTTGTTGGGTCTCACCTATATTGTGATTACTGTCCTACCTGTCTTCGTCATTGAATGTCCTTTTCGCACCTCCTCCCTAACGTTCCTTCTCCATCGTTTGTTCTATATCGGAC